AAAACTTGGCGAGTTTGATGTGTATTATTATATATTAACCTTATACAGTAGTATGTAATACAGTAGTCATTTTAATAGAAGAAACCATGAAAATGGAATGAAAGGTTTTAAAAGTAATGACATCAACAAAAAAAAGATAAGTTTTTGGCTACATCAAAGCTTAACAAAATTGAATATTCATAAAGTAATGACATGAAAAAAATTACCAATTTTTCAAACGTTATCTTGAACCTTAATTACAATTATTGCAATACTAATAAGATAAGTATTTTATTACAGAGAAAAACATGTCAATAGTATGCAAAATTATTAAATCAATAGCAAAACTATTAAACTAGTTAAGCTTTTCACTTAAAAATAAAGTTATTATTTTACTGTAATACTAAACATCTACCAAACAATAAGATAATACTCCTTTGCAATACTGTTATTTCACTTGACCAAGTATTATAAATAATTCGCATGTAAATTGTTTACAAATATAGCCTCAAAAATCTATTAATACTGAAAAAAAGACGAAACGTACTAATGTATATTTTATACAATTTCAAAATGAAAATGATTTTGAAGTGAAACCTGCACAAAAACTTCTTTATCAGAAGATAAACTATTATATCTTTGGAGTAGAATCAGAACCTAGAGGGTATTTAATTTATGACCCATAAAAGCTAAATGAGCCGCGTGACTGATTGGCTAATGAAATTTGTAGGTTGAAGGCTTACTTGACAATGGTGTATTTTAATTTTTTTATTTAAAAATATTTGGCACTGCTGTCGACCCCGTTCAAGTAGCAACTACACAACGGGGCTATACAGCTAGTGGCTTTGACTTTAGAGCTAAAGTTGAGAAAATAGGAACAAGAGTTATATCTAACACAGATTAATAGAGACCTTAAGGAGGTTAGGGAGCTTTAGTGGGGGGAGCGGGGCTGGGGCAAGAGGAAAGCTGTATACTTGTACATGGATCAAGAGTATGGATGCCAACTTAAGAAAATTAAAATGGTTTTCTTCAAAAATTATTGTTATTGCATTTTTTAATAAGAAACCACGTTTTGCACTAATGATTTGTCAGTGCTTTTTTACTACATCAATTAATTTTGGTTTTAATATTAATTGTTGGCTAATTTCGTCTACAAAAATCAAGTAAACATGACAACGTTGCAGTTTCTTAGACTTTGGTAAACTTTGAATGATGTATATATAGGTGTATTATACTCAGCCAGCTATTCTGCTCTGCAGAACCATAACCACAAAAAATTTATTTTGTTCACTGTTTACTCTTGTTATTAGAAATACATCCAGTTAATTTTAAGTGGAAAGAAGTTTATGTTTCTAAAAAAGTCTACGACACTAAGTCTCGGAGTTCTAAGATTGGGAAAGCTAACGAAAAAAAGTTTACAGTTAGTCAAGACCTTGTCAAAACATCGGAGGACATAGTATCAGTATCTATTAAAGGCAACAGAATAATCATCCTCTAACACATGGCTGAAATAATGTTTTGTGTTAAGTGCAAATTACAGTTGTTCATCCAAGATATTAAAGAAAAAAGTAAAAAAAGATTGTTGTCTGTTTTATGTTTACAGTGCAGACAGTGTTTGTATATGAATGCAGTTACTACTGGAGCTCAAAGCATGAGTTCAATAACCGACAAAGAATTTTGTACCAAAAATAGGAAGCGTAGATCATGTGAAATTGGAGTTGCAACAGGTCACACAAAACCCCATAATTGCCATTCAAATTTTAGTGGTAGTTCTAAAGCTATGGAAGCTGATGGAGCCGTTAAACTAACAAGTAAAAGTAACATTTTGAAAGATGCCAGGCTTAAAGTAGGGGTTTTTATTAGTGACAATAACAATAGCTCTACATCAGCTTTGCAAAAAGCCGGTGTGAATCATATTTTGAAACAGTCTGACATAAATCACACAGTCAGAGGTGTATGCAATTTACTGTATGGTATATAAAATAATAAATCGAAAGATTTGAACAAAGAATTAAGCACTGAAACTATTAAGCATATTCAAAGAGACTTCACCTATACAATGAAGCAAAGTAAGGGAATCATACAAAAATAAGGGAGGCTATTATACATATGCCATATTATTTGTACGACATTCATGATGGCTGTGAAGATTGGTGTAATAACGGAACCAGCAAAGAAAACTTTAGAGCTGTAAGGCTGGAGAACTCTTATCTCGATAAAGCGCTAGAAGAACTTTTCCAGAAACTTTCAAATAATTCGTCCAAATTTGTAGCTGCAGCCCGTGTATTCCAAAATCCAAAATGATTTTCTTACAGTACGACAGAAGCAGCCGATTTTCGTTTTGCTTGTACAGTAGCTCAAAAAATTGTGGCAAATCATACTTAAAAAAAACTTTAAGCACATTGCAAATAAATACGGGCTCTGTAATAAATCGTCGCATTGAGAATGAAAGCAACTTGTTAAGATATAAAAAAGAAACATCAAGTTAGCCAGCATTAAAAAAGTAAAAGTAACAGTCCAAAGCTAAAAAGTAACAATCAAGAAACCGAAAAGAGGCTGAAGAAGGAGAAACATATACAAGTAACATGGTTTTATTAGAAAATGTTATTGAAACTTAAAATCAAAAATGTTGCTTTTGCCGAGATGTTACTATACTTGCGAAATTTGGGTAAGCCATGTATTGTTGTTGCTCAAAATTGTACATTTGATTCTAACCGACTCGAACTTGTAATGCAAAAATTAAATTTAATTGATGACTTTAGGCAAATAGGGACTGGATTTTCAGATACTTTACCTTTATTAAGAAAAAAGTTTTCAAGTCAAGTATCAAATCATAATTTAACTATACTTGCCTCAGAACTTTAAAGTTTACCAAGTGATGAAGCTTACGATACCCTTTTTGATGTTATATTATTGGAAAAATTAAGTATAACGTTTTTTACTGCACATAATATTTTTAAAAGTATTGAATCAATCAAAAAAATCGTTGAAAAGTTTGAGATAAGAGCAAGAATAAATGCGAGTTTGCAAGAATATGTTGGCATGAAAAGCATTGTAAGCAAAAAAATGATAGAAAGAATGATGAGTTGCAGAATTACTTATGATTCTTTAGTAGCTTGCTATAAGAATCATGGAGAAGACAAATCTGAAATATTATTGAAAGGCAGCATTAATGGAAAATCTCAAAATATTAAAACCAACAAAATTCTTATTACCATTTTAAACTTTTTGAAAACTCAAAAATTTGATAAGGAAGTATGAAAGCTAAGGTAAATGGGCTACTGTCTGATAAGTATTAAAACAAAGTGTTAATGTAATGTTTAAGTAGTTTAAGAAACATACGTAAGAACAAATATTTTAAACATGACGTTCATGATGCATTTAATTTTTTTTGCATTGTATAGTACAGATTACCTTAACCTACACCACCTGTAGCAGACAAGCAATGCATATAACTCAATTCCAAAACTTTAATTCTTCATTATTCAAATAATGCCTGGCAAAGTTTTATTTTTATTCACGAATATCTTTTTTATGGGTGCGGTTTGTGTTACATAGGCCACAGTAAGAGACACTTATGCCGGCGTTTACAAGAACACAAATGTTACACAAAAAACAGGGACAAAAGGTCGGCCCTGTACTGCCATTCCACGCACTGTCCGCAGGGTTTCGAATTCGGGAGAACGGTGATCCTTGATGAAGAGCCTAATAAATATAAGCATGGATTTTCTGAAATGATTTTTATAACTTTATGTAACAATAATATTAATAAACAATTAGATATAAAAAACTTAAAAATTTTTACAAAAATTTTTTATACCGAATTAAAAATGAAATAAAAATTAAATTATAGGTTTTAGTAGTACATTTTTATAATTAAAACAACGAAAAAAGTCTCATATGTTGTATAAGCTATACATATACAATTACACATATATCTTCTATATTTCCGAGGGTCTCCTTTAATGATCACTGTTCCCTATGATGTATGTTAGGTACGTGCACCGATCTTGATTCACATTTTACTCTTTACATGTTTGCACCGTCCATGTATGATGACTTTTGGATATGAATTGCTTTTAATTTTTCTGATTATCATGTTACTGATTTATAATAACATGACGCCTATTGTAACTAAGTTAAGTTAATGTAATATGTGGACGAGAAAATGTAGGCACCATGGGTGTCCCTATTACGTGTTGTCTTGGCACCTACATGGTGAACTATTATATTTACTTTTGTTCAACATTAACTAAAATTTTTATTCGATTGTGATTGTAGATTTCTAATCCTGAAGAAGCTGTCAGTAGGACAGTGAAATATTGATTTGTGTAAATAATTATGCAAATAAATAGTTATACTTCTGAAGATCAAGTTGTGGATTTTACTATTATTTATGATGACAAAGAAGGAACTGAAAGGAGTACATAGATAATTATAATAATTTATGTATTAACATGAAAATGATTTTTACACTGACCTAACTGCATTAAGGGCGTTCATTACAGTCAGAGGGCAAATGAAGAGAGTACTATGAGGGGGAAGTAAGTATGTGGCAGTGTCACCAACTGTTTTTCATGCATTACCACACACACACACAAAGCGTTTTCAGGTATTAATTACATATATAAACTGACTTATGCAGACTTTACGTGCTTTTAAGATATATAATTGTGACATTGAAGAGTCTGCAAAAATAAGCTTTTTGTCTGTAGAGTGTCATGATACTCATATATATAATCTGAAAAACGGTGTAGTAAAATGATCTGAAATTTTGCATAAGACATTTTAAAGTAATTGCCAATGTCTATTGATCTTTTCAGGAGAATCCATCAGAAAATTCAACTTGTGATAAGCGCTTTAAAGTCTCATCTGCTTTATTTTTAGGTGATATACGTGAATTGAATGAGTCAGAATCACTTTTCTTAAAACATGTTCTTGTCGTTATTTTTGTGACAGAATATTAAAAAAGCTGAAATTCTAGAATGTACTTATATTTTTAAAATAATTTGAACACTCACAATTCCTCTCTTTGGCGCTGAGACAACACCATTTTCATGATATTAGGATGTATAATCTGGTAAATGACTTAGCGACTAAAAATCGATAAACAAACAAATAATTTGATCAAAGGTTTGACGCTGAAGTATTCATATTTCCTCAATGCATTGTAGACTATCGTACCTGTAAACATACAATACTTGACTAAGTGCTTTAATTTAATAAAAGTTTTCTGTAAAATATTTTCAATTGCTTTACAAAAAATTACTTCGTCATAGAAACAGATTTAAATAGTCAATAAAAACGTTTTTTAAAAATTAAAAAAAAATGTTTTAAATAGTAAAAAATCAACAATATATATATACATACATACATACATACATACGTGTGTGTTTATATTATATAGTTATATAGTTTTAAAGCGACAACTAGCTCCCTCCTTAGTTCTACCCTGAAATAATCTAAGTTTCTTTTGTTTCATCTGTGAAATTTAATTTAAAAAAAATTTAGTAGATCAACTTCTGCTTTCTCCACCCCCACCTGTCACGGCTTTCCGCCGACTCACCACAACTCCACCCAAAAATAAGATAATTTTGTATGGTATAGCTTCGTTATGTGTAGTTCCATACGAAGTTGAATGATTTTAAAATGATAACTAGCTCTTGTTTTAAGTAAGGGAAGTTTCTTTTTTTACTAGTAAAATTTAAGTAATTTAAAATAGAGTTGATAGACCCTGCATTAGTTAGTGGTGACACTAGCACCTTTAACAAGAAACTTAATGCTTGTACCATATTTAATTTTAATAATCAAATTAAAACTACAGGTAAGACTTCAAAAAAGTGTACATACTGTGATTTAAGCCTTATGAATACATTATTATCTTTACAAATTAATGATGTCAGATGCAGTAAAAAATAAATAATCTTATTTATGTATACAGTAAAATCCCAAAAAATATTGTACTGCAAAAACTACTTAACCGATTTTACTTACATTTTGCACACTGGTTCTTGACACTTCTTACATGGTTTTTGCAGGGTTTCTTCTCGAAAGCATTTAGATTAATAGTGATCAGTGAGCCTAAAGTTTTGCAACAAACGCTACCTTCGCACTTTCGTTCAATAGGATCCAGTGGGTGGCATCAAAGTAAAATCCAAGCCACCTGTAATCGAAGTCAGTGAGTCTAGTGGTAATATTTTCGAGCAAAACGTCGAGAACCATAGACGTTCACTGACAGTAGATCAAGAACAGAGCTATTAGCTGTGAATCTGAGTATCCTAGCTACCGATGATATTCAACCGTCTACAATGGGCAAGCAACCTACGCCGATTTCCAACTTGGATCACTCACATGACAGAGTGATATGAGAAAAAGGTGTTCTGAAGGCTGATATTCCAAGTGTAATACCAGGAGACGTCTGGCTACAGTACAATTAGTACCAAAGCTGCTGAAGAATTCGCGCAGTCACATCTCAAATATCAGCAGCATTTAACTAAAATCATCATCATTGGTCCTTTTTTTAAGGGTATCAGAAATCTTTAGGTTTAATAAACCACTATAAATCCCATCGATCTTTTTTATAACAACAAATAATTTTTTTACAACTATTTCTGACAAATATTTTAAAGCAAGTTCTAAAAATGTTTCGTCTACTAAAAGACAATATACAGCCAGTCATTTTTAAACCAAGTCACTCATTTACTGGTAAACGTCACAAGCGGAGTTCTTTGTTACGAGGATGGGAACACCGGCCACCAACGACCCTGCATTGCCCTTTCAACTCTAAGCATTCAACCAGAAATCACCGATCCTTTGCAGGGTCTGCACTTGGTGAATCTAATAACAAAGCTATGAAGAAGAATCTAACTTGAGCTAACAGAATGGTCTTTAACAGGCACGCCACACTTATTAATCTATATCTTAGATCACCATAACGACTGAGCTGTACGAAAAAAAGGTGCTCTGGACACTAATTTGCCTAGCATAACACCAGGAAACTGTTCTCGATAAAAACAGCTCTTGTAAGGGCTCATAAAAGTTTTTTAATATGCCTAATGTTGCAAAAAGGCAAATTGGAAAAAAAACTTTAAAAACTTTTTAGTACGTTACAAAAAAAAAAGTGCAAATCAACGACTCTTTTAACAGCCAGCAACTATTTTACAGCGTAAAAAACTTACGGTACTTTTTAGCACCATAATATATTTTTTAGTTTTTTACAGCTTATTATTCGACCACAAATGCGTAGACATCAAACCAATATTTACTTGATAAGATTTTTTTTTATTCCTAAAAGTGTCAAGACTGGATGAAAAAATTTGAAATATTGATAAAGTGAAAATATTTTACATGACGTGTTGATACACTATGGTATTCAATTAAGTGAATCTCAGAGAATTCCAGGACTTGACTGACACATACACAAATGCATTTTATAGAATTTGATTCATGTACTAATTCACTATGGCTGCAACAACGTGAATATGTTGTAACATAGTTTAAAGAAGTTAGGACAGAATTAACTTATTGATAAGAATGTCTTGACAAAATGTTACAATTTAACATCTTGTAGATGTGGTGACTAAGTTTGAACACAATTACGTCTACAAATTTTGAGAAAAAAAAAACTCACAATTTCGCCTGTATTCATTGTCTTAAATATGCATTATTGTGAAAACTGCGCAAGAATTAAAAAAAAAAAAAAAAAAAAAAAAACACTTATGGCTTGAGACGTATCAACGAAAATGTTATGAATAAGAGAGGTGTTGTTGATGAATACTGTAGCAACGTTTAGTTTTCCGTAATACGAATGTTTATGCAGAGTAATGATAGTAACTTCCTCACTCAATATTATCATCAAAATTTGTACGGCAATACTGATTTAATGTACTGCATGATTATACATGATATGTACACCTTGTGTGTCAGTAAGCGCGGAAATATAATAGTGTCCATAAGTCGATGTTAACGTTGCAGAAAACTCTTACGTACAATCACACAAAATCATGCATAATTATAAAGAATTTTATAATATTTGAATTATTTCCATTGTTTACTAAAAAATCGCAAACAACTGAATATGATTAAAGTGTAATAAATACGCATTCTCAATTTAAGAAATCAGAAAAATTCATGACCTCGTAATATCTAAGAATCACATCATCTTTGACTTATAGTTGACTGTTTATTTTGGCGACTAAGACATAGTACTATTCATACTTTATTTGCGTAAATTAAACATTGTATTAATAAACTCTGAAAATAATAATTTCAACTCAAGTGCTAATTTTTCTACAAAAATATTTATCAAGATATCAAAACTTATTTTTTTATTTCATAATCTTTAAATCATTTCTTTTAGTAGAAGTTATTTTGTTATGGAAGATACTTCGTTTTTTAAATTTTTAAGAATTTCGCCAGTACTCGCATAATCAATAACAACAATTTACTTCTTGTGCCACATCATTACCCTTGTATCGATGTATTTTCAAATTAAACAAACGAATTTTTTGCCAAAATTTTTCTCAAGTTAACACAAAATACTTACTAATGCATCCTGCTATACAAACACTCTCATACATATATTAATCAGAACCACCAACTACGACTTTCATAAGAGTACTTTCTTTAATAAGAGTAGTTTCTTCTACAGTTGGTACTAGCAGACGACTATGCCAGCTTTTCCTTCTCTTACCCTCGCACCTCAATTTTCTTAACTCACGAACAGCCGAAGAACATAGTTAGCAGAAAACGAGGTATGCTAAATTAATAAACTTATTTTAGGAGTGTCTCAAATACAACACACATTTTTTTAAACGATCTGTATTTTAAACATTTTTTCTAAACCTACTTAAAGATAGTGAATCTGAGGACAAGCAGCCAGTAACAACTTCTCTCTCGTATTCTTGAAGAGTAGAAGTATTGGTAAAACCTGCAAAAAGTATATTTTAACGCTGCCAGCTAATGTAAATGCACCCTTAACCTTCACGTATAATTTTTTGATTATTATTATTAGTTAGATTTGCATATTTATATCAACAAAAACCATTTCCAGTTGGTAAGTGGTGACAGAACAGCATTTAACTAAAAAACTCACAGCTGAATATATATATACATACATACATACATAAAAACCATTTCCAGTTGGTAAGTGGTGACAGAACAGCATTTAACTAAAAAACTCACAGCTGGTACTATTTTAAAATGTAAAAATTAAATTAAAATTACAAGTATAAGCAATAAAAAAAAATTGTAAAGTACAATTACGGTTATGGCATAATTTATCTGTGGGGAGTTCGCGCACGGAGCCCCACTAGTGTATGTA